TTAGTTCAGACCAGCAGTGTAACTCTCTCTCTCTCTCTCTCTCTCTCTCGCTCTCTCGCTCTCTCGCTCTCTCTCTCTCTCTCTCTCTCTCGCTCTCTCGCTCTCTCGCTCTCTCGCTCTCTCGCTCTCTCGCTCTCGCTCTCGCTCTCGCTCTCTCTCTCTGCTGTGATCTGCTCTCGCCTGGCCCCTCCTGCTGATCCCCTCCTGCTGGTCCTCTCCTGCTGGTCTTCTCCTTGTAGTTGTTGTAATAAACTAATAAAAAAGTGTGGAGAACAGTCCTGGACTGACCCCAAACCAGAGACTGCACCAGGAATCCACTCTCTCACTGGTTTTTGCTTCTTACATGGTTTGGGCAGTAGTCCTGGAAGAGGGTCTCTCTGGTCTCTCTTTAGTCTCTCTCTGGTCACTCCCTGGTCTTGTTCTGGTCACTCCCTGGTCACTCCCTGGTCACTCCCTGGTCTCGTTCTGGTCTCTCAGGGACAGGTTTCATTACTGTGGATTTACTCGTCTTCATTTTGTCGAAACGTAAAACTCAGAACAGTTTACAAGACTCATGAATATTTAAACAGTGGAATCAACAGAGAGAGACCAGAGAGAGACCAGAGAGAGACCAGAGAGAGACCAGAGAGAGACCAGAGAGAGACCAGAGAGAGACCAGAGAGAGACCAGAGAGAGACCAGAGAGAGACCAGAGAGAGACCAGAGAGAGACCAGAGAGAGACCAGAGAGAGACCAGCGAGAGACCAGAGAGACACCAGAGAGAGGCCAGAGAGAGACCAGAGAGAGACCAGAGAGAGACCAGAGAGAGACCAGAGAGAGACCAGAGAGAGACCAGAGAGAGACCAGAGAGAGACCAGAGAGAGACCAGAGAGAGACCAGAGAGAGACCAGAGAGAGACCAGAGAGAGACCAGAGAGAGACCAGAGAGAGACCAGAGAGAGACCAGAGAAAGACCAGAGAGAGACTACAGATCTAGTCCTAGACCCAGACCTGGACATGGAGGTTTCAGAGCGTTGCCTCATTTAGACATAAAGAGAGATAACGATCTTTAATTCAAAGTTCAGGACGAGATGAAACTCTTCATTTTTTAATCTGAAAAAATGATGCAAGAAAAAAGATCCTGAAGACACTGCTCAGGTCTCTCTCTGGTCTCTCTCTGGTCTCTCTCTGGTCTCTCTCTGGTCTCTCTCTGGTCTCTCTCTCTGGTCTCTCTCTGGTCTCTCTCTGGTCTCTCTCTGGTGTCTCTCTGGTCTCTCTCTCTGGTGTCTCTCTGGTGTCTCTCTGGTGTCTCTCTGGTCTCTCTCTCTGGTCTCTCTCTGGTCTCTCTCTGGTCTCTCTCTGGTCTCTCTCTGGTGTCTCTCTGGTGTCTCTCTGGTGTCTCTCTGGTGTCTCTCTGGTCTCTCTCTCTGGTCTCTCTCTGGTCTCTCTCTGGTCTCTCTCTGGTCTCTCTCTGGTCTCTCTCTGGCCTCTCTCTGGTGTCTCTCTGGTCTCTCGCTGGTCTCTCTCTGGTCTCTCTCTGGTCTCTCTCTGGTCTCATTCTGGTCCCTCCTCTCTCACATAAAGCAGATTTATAGTCCTATCGGGTCCTGGTGTAATGAGGTAATTCTTGGTCCTGGAGCTAACAAGCCGTTTGCTAATTACAGACACAGACGATGGAACGGTGAGGTCAGAGGTCAGCGGCGAGGCGGCCCGGGCTGTCGGGGGGGTCAGCGGCGAGGAGGCCCGGCTGTCGGGGGGGTCAGCGACACGAGAGCGAGGTCTCAGACGAGATAATTGGAGAAACATTCTGTGAAAGATCAGCTTCACTCGACCACATCGACTTTATGAATGTAGAATCTATCTATAACACCAGGAATCTCTGTCTGTGTGGCAGAAAATTACGTCTTCTTAATACTATTCTTGGTCTCTTTCTAGTCTCTCCCTGGTCTCTTCCTGGTCTCGCTATGGTCTAGCTCTGGTCTAGCTGTGGTCCCTCTGGCCTCTCTCTGGTTTCTCTCTAGTCTCTCCCTGGTCTCTTCCTGGTCTCGCTATGGTCTAGCTCTGGTCTAGCTCTGGTCTAGCTCTGGTCTCTCTCTGGTCTCTCTCTCGGGTCTCTCTCTAGTCTAGCTCTGGTCTCTCTCTAGTCTCTCTCTGGTCTCTCCCTAGTCTCTCTCTGGTCTCTCTCTAGTCTCTCTCTAGTCTCTCTCTGGTCTCTCTCTGGTCTCTCTCTAGTCTCTCTCTGGTCTCTCTCTGGTCTCTCTCTGGTCTCTCTCTGGTCTCTCCCTGGTCTCTCTCTGGTCTCTCTCTAGTCTCTCTCTGGTCTCTCTCTGGTCTCTCTCTGGTCTCTCTCTGGTCTCTCCCTGGTCTCTCTCTAGTCTCTCTCTAGTCTCTCTCTGGTCTCTCTCTGGTCTCTCTCTGGTCTCTCTCTGGTCTCTCCCTGGTCTCTCCCTGGTCTCTCTCTAGTCTCTCTCTGGTCTCTCTCTGGTCTCTCTCTGGTCTCTCTCTCTGGTCTCTCCCTGGTCTCTCTCTAGTCTCTCTCTAGTCTCTCTCTGGTCTCTCTCTGGTCCCTCTCATTGTTGGAGTATACATAGTAAAAAAAAAACATGGTGGGACATCACACACTGGTCTGAAGAATGCAGAGGGGGAGGTGGGGGAGGATGTGGGGGAGGATGTGGGAGGAGGGGGGAGACCTCTGCATTTGTCCCACTTCTGCGTTCTCTCTCTCTTGCCGCTCTCTCTCTGGGGCATCAGGGGAAATCACCGCTCTCCACGGGTCACGTGACTCCAACACAATCACAGAAACATGTTTGGACTCACCTCCATTTGGGACAAGGACACATGGTACCCAGGGGAGAGGGCTGCATCATACCATCAACACAGACATGAAGCTCCGCCGCTTCTGTCTAAAACTAACGTAGTCAATAGGAGCCAGAGAGAGTTGGAGCTAAACTTTATCCATGAGCACTTTCTTTTTGGGCTTCATTGAGCCAGCGGGTTAGCATTGTCCATCTGTGTGTATCTATACGTTAGCATCAGAGTAGAGACCAGAGAGAGACCATAGAGACCAGGGAGAAACCAGAGAGAGACCAGAGAGATCAGAGAGAGACTAGAGAGAGACTAGAGAGACCAGAGCGAGACCAGAGCGAGACCAGAGGGAGACCAGAGGGAGACCAGAGGGAGACCAGAGAGAGACAAGAGAGAGACCAGAAAGACCAGAGAGAGAGACCTGAGAGAGATCAGAGAGAGACCAAAGCGAGACCAAAGCAAGACCAAAGAGAGACCAGAGAGAGACCGGAGAGGGACCAGAGAGAGAGGAGAGAGAATGATATGTCATTGTCGTGTTTCAAAAGTTACATACCCCATTTTAACTGTTGTTCTCTTTAACTGGAGGATCACCGAGAACAAAACCAGGACCAGGACAAAGTCCAGGTCCAGGACCAGTTTTTTTAGATAATGACCAGTCATTAAAAACTACAGTTTAACTGAATTCAAGTTGTTTCTGACGGTAAAAATATCTTGTCCCTAAAACATGATCTTGAGAATATTCACTGTTTTAGGCCAACAAGGCGCTGTGTGAGTGCGCGCGGCTGCTCCTCTCTGGTGGAGCCTGGTGCAGCACTGCCCCCTGCAGGTGACCGCGTGAACTACTAACATTAACTCATTTATTAAGGTTTGGTGTAATGTTCCAGTGCGGCAAAAACTCTGGTCTCTCTCTCTCTCTGGTCCCTCTCTAATCCCTCTCTCTCTCTCTGGTCTCTCTCTCTCTCTGGTCTCTCTCTCTCTTGCTGGTCTCTCTCCCTCTTTACAGCTTTAGCCTCTTGGTGATGTCACATGAACACAACTTTCAATGGATCCAAATATTACTTTAAAAACAATAATAAAAACAATATGACCAAAGTGACTCTCTGTGACTTTCCCTGTTCCTTCGTGTCCAGAGCAAACTCTCACTGATGGATGCGAGTTTCCAAAGAGCCGGAGTCCAGACGAGTCCAGGTCCAGGTCTGGTCCAAACAGGTCGTGGTCCATCCATCCTCAGAGACAGGGCTGGAGGACACAGGACGCTCAAAGTCACGATAACTCAAAGGCTACAATAAACACTGCACCCAGAGGACCAGCAAGGTCTCTCTTCATGGTTTGTCTTTCTTTCTGGTCTCTCTCTCTCTCTCTCTCTCAGGTCTCTCTCCTGAAGTTCTCTCTCATACAGAATTAAACCAATGATCCAGACTAGGTTTTTCTTGCATTTTATCTTTTACTTTTTCTCGTCCAAGTTTTTTTTTGACTCATTTATTTCTGTGGAAAATTAAAGGTGCCACTCCGACCGTAAAGCGCTAAAAAAATTAATGTGACTTAACGCAGTTGTTCCAAAGTTGTCCGTGAACTGATGAATATTAGATGAAGTACATTGGAGGAACTAACATCCGTGTGGACCTCTGTCGCCCCCTGCAGGACACGGTCTTCTCTGGAGAGTAGCTTCAGTGACAGACTGATCCACCCTCGCTGTGTGTAGGGGGTTTCACAGGTCTTTCCTTCCTGCTGCTGTCAGACTGTACAATGAAACCTGTTGCTGTTGTTACTAGTGTTTCTTCTCTGCTGCTGAAGTACCATAAAGGTGAAGGTGCAGTTTATTTACCCCCGTAGAGCAATAACCCCTCTGCATTTGACCCTGATGCCACCAAGGCTTCCATCGGGGGCAGTGGTCGCCGTAGCAACTGCGCCCGGGACCCATCTCCAAACGTATTCTCTACGATCTTAAAGAATAAATCCTGTTTTATGTGTGAAACTTTTTTTTTGCTGTAATCTGCAACAATGACATTTTAACGATGAAAGAAGGATTATTGTGGTATTATCTTTGTGTAATAATAATAACAACAACAAAGAGTCGTGTCCACAGTTTATTCTCCGTCTTCAACAGAGACAGATTTTAAACTTTATCTTCAACAAAAATAGACCAATATTTACAGACGGTAAAAATACATTTGTCTTTCTAAAAGACATAGAACCCACTGTGGGCCTCCAGCATTTACTACAGCTGCAGGGGGAGAGGAGGAGAGAGGAGGAGGAGGAGGAGGAAGAGAGAGGAGAAAGAGAGGGGGAGAGAGGAGGAGAGAGGAGGAGGAGGAAGAGAGAGGAGGAGAGGGGAGGAGGAGAGAGGAGAAAGAGAGGGGGAGAGGGGAGAGAGGAGGAGGAGGAGAGAGGAGAGGTGGGGTAGAGACTGAGTCAGGAGAGAGGAGTAGAGAGAGACCGGAGGGAAGGAGAGAGAGGTGGAGAGAGGAGAGAGACACTGAGACAGGTGAGTCAGACGAGCAGCAGTAGGAAGAGAGGAGGAGGGGGAGCGTGAGGGAGGAAGGAGAAACACTGAATCAGACTGAAGCAGGAGGAGAGGGGGAGAGAGGAGAAAGGAGAGGGAGGAGAGAAGAGTAGGAGAAACACTGATTAAAGAAGGAGGAGAAGAAGAAACCTCGAGGATGTGAACTCTGTGGTAAAAATGTGGATTTAACACTGATCAAAACATGATAAAAACATGAATAATACAAAAGAGCTTTAGTTAGAGCCCAGTCTCCACCAGCTCCACCTGGTCGCGTCTCATTCACCCACAACAAACCAGTGTCCGGGAAATTCCTTGGTAACCATGGCTTCAGCAGCGGCCAATCACTGTCAGTTACAACACTTTAGTACACTAGAGTAGAGTAGAGAAGGGTAGAGTAGAGTAGAGTACACTAGAGTAGAGTACACTAGAGTAGAGTAGAGTAGGGTAGAGTAGAGTACACTAGAGTAGAGTAGAGTACACTAGAGTAGAGTAGAGAAGGGTAGAGTAGAGTAGAGTACACTAGAGTAGAGTAGAGAAGGGTAGAGTAGAGTAGAGTACACTAGAGTAGAGTAGAGTAGGGTAGAGTAGAGTACACTAGAGTAGAGTAGAGTACACTAGAGTAGAGTAGAGTAGGGTAGAGTAGAGTACACTAGAGTAGAGTAGAGTACACTAGAGTAGAGTAGAGTAGAGTACACTAGAGTAGAGTACACTAGAGTAGAGTAGAGTACACTAGAGTAGAGTACACTAGAGTAGAGTACACTAGAGTAGAGTAGGGTAGAGTACACTAGAGTAGAGAGTAGAGTAGAGTACACTAGAGTAGAGTAGAGTAGAGTACACTAGAGTAGAGTAGTAGTAGAGTAGAGTAGGGTAGAGTAGAGTACACTAGAGTAGAGTAGAGTACACTAGAGTAGAGTAGAGTAGGGTAGAGTAGAGTACACTAGAGTAGAGTACACTAGAGTAGAGTAGAGTAGAGTACACTAGAGTAGAGTAGAGTACACTAGAGTAGAGTACACTAGAGTAGAGTAGGGTAGAGTACACTAGAGTAGAGTAGAGTACACTAGAGTAGAGTAGAGTAGAGTACACTAGAGTAGAGTACACTAGAGTAGAGTAGAGTACACTAGAGTAGAGTAGAGTAGAGTAGAGTACACTAGAGTAGAGTAGAGTAGAGTAGAGTAGAGTACACTAGAGTAGAGTAGAGTAGAGTACACTAGAGTAGAGTAGAGTAGAGTACACTAGAGTAGAGTACACTAGAGTAGAGTAGAGTACACTAGAGTAGAGTAGAGTAGAGTACACTAGAGTAGAGTAGAGTAGAGTACACTAGAGTAGAGTAGAGTACACTAGAGTAGAGTAGAGTAGAGTACACTAGAGTAGAGTAGAGTAGAGTACACTAGAGTAGAGTAGAGTACACTAGAGTAGAGTAGAGTAGAGTACACTAGAGTAGAGTAGAGTAGAGTACACTAGAGTAGAGTAGAGTAGAGTACACTAGAGTAGAGTAGAGTAGAGTACACTAGAGTAGAGTAGAGTAGAGTACACTAGAGTAGAGTAGATCTGGTGGAAACGGGGCTTTTGAGGTCGATGGTTTTTGTGGCAATTTTCAAACTGCAAAAATATGAACTGACTTAAATTTCAGGTGTTTTTAGAAAAGTAGAGACGAAAACATGACTTTTGTGTAAAGCTGATCCCTGTGAGTCACTATCTGACTCTGTGGGCTCTGGGTCTCTCAGGACTAGGACCAAGAGTAGGACCAGCCTGGGACCCAAGGCCAGACCATGAGCTGAAATCTCATCATTGTGTTTTTTACAGCGTGAATCGAAGGCTGTGCACAACAACAACAAAAGCTGAGATTAAAACAATAAATTAGACTAAAACACTGAAACCGCGGCACCAGGAGAAATCCTCTAAAACACCATCATGATTCAAGTTTGTGTTATTCCAGTTTGACCAGAAACAAAAACGCAAAATTAATATTAACGATCAGGGCAGACATCTTGGAGAGACCGGGGGCAGACATCTTGGACAGACCCGGGGGCAGACATCTTGGAGAGACTGGGGGCAGACATCTTGGACAGACCGGGGGCAGACATCTTGGACAGACCGGGGGCAGACATCTTGGACAGACCGGGGGCAGACATCTTGGACAGACCGGGGGCAGACATCTTGGACAGACCGGGGGCAGACATCTTGGAGAGACTGGGGGCAGACATCTTGGAGAGACTGGGGGCAGACATCTTGGACAGACCCGGGACAGACATCTTGGAGAGACGTGGGGCACATAAAACCTAAACCTCGGCCTCTCCACAGACGCAACCTGTGACTTTGTGGTCTGAGAGTAGAGTTCCCCAACTTTAACTGAAAAGTAATAAAATAAATACATTCTTAAACTAAAGTTTCCTGTGGATTTGAATCCTGAAGAGAAATCCACGTTTGTGCTTCACGTTTCTGTTCGACCCGACTTTAAAAACTCTTAAAAAATCTCGTTCTGTACATTCAGCTGTGGATGTTGCCACGGAGACGATCGAGACTAATCTCGCTTTGCAGAGAAATAAAACTGTACAAAACGCTGTACAGGCAGAGGTCCGGAACGGTTCCCAAAGTCCGGGGCGCGTCCGCCGTTCGGAGCAGTTCATTTTGGTTTGAAAAATAGTCTGAGTTTGATCCAAGAGACGATTGGACGGGAGGCGGAGCGCTGCGACGCAATTGGTCCATCTCTAGACCGCAGACACCTGTTCATCTGGAGAGAGAGAGAGAAAAGTCAGTCTCTCTGCACAGACATGACTCCTGGTCCTAACTCACCGTCGTCACTGTCCAGTCCTCGTGGCGGGACACAGATGCTGGCCGGCCTGCTCCCCAGGGGGCGCTGTAGCAGCCTGCTCCTCTGCAGAGCCACGCTGTAGTCGGGGGGCCTCAGGTGGGGGTCTCGCTGAGGGTCTCGCTGAGGGTCTCGCTGAGGCACCACGTCGCCCAGAGACAGGCCGTGGTATCCTGGAGGGGTGGGAGGGGCAGCCCTGAATCGCTCGTCTTTGGAGGGAGAGGTGATGCAGTAGACTGGGTGTGTGCGTGTGCAGGAGGGAGGGGCAAAAGCAAAACAAAGATGGCGGCGGTGGCGGGGGAGAGTGGGGGGTGTGGGTGAGGAGGGGGAGGGACACAAACAAATGGAGAAAATAAATCATGGAGTTTCACAGACGTCTACACGAGCGGGAACGACAGAAGCAGATACAGCATGAGATGTTTGACTTTAAAGAAAAATATGATCATTTACAGCCATTAAACATGATCATGAGACTACAGTGGTCCCAGTGGGTTAGAGAGACCAGAGAGAGACCAGGGAGAGACCAGGGAGAGACCAGGGAGAGACCAGGGAGAGACCAGAGAGAGACCAGAGAGAGACCAGGGAGAGACCAGGGAGAGACCAGAGAGAGACCAGGGAGAGACCAGAGAGAGACCAGGGAGAGACCAGGGAGAGACCAGGGAGAGACCAGAGAGAGACCAGAGAGAGACCAGAGAGAGACCAGAGAGAGACCAGGGAGAGACCAGAGAGAGACCAGGGAGAGACCAGAGAGAGACCAGGGAGAGACCAGGGAGAGACCAGGGAGAGACCAGAGAGAGACCAGGGAGAGACCAGAGAGAGACCAGGGAGAGACCAGGGAGAGACCAGGGAGAGACCAGAGAGAGACCAGAGAGAGACCAGAGAGAGACCAGAGAGAGACCAGGGAGAGACCAGAGAGAGACCAGGGAGAGACCAGAGAGAGACCAGGGAGAGACCAGGAGAGACCAGGGAGAGACCAGAGAGAGACCAGAGAGAGACCAGAGAGAGACCAGAGAGAGACCAGAGAGAGACCAGAGAGAGACCAGGGAGAGACCAGGGAGAGACCAGAGAGAGACCAGAGAGAGACCAGGGAGAGACCAGGGAGAGACCAGGGAGAGACCAGGGAGAGACCAGAGAGAGACCAGGGAGAGACCAGAGAGAGACCAGGGAGAGACCAGAGAGAGACCAGGGAGAGACCAGGGAGAGACCAGAGAGAGACCAGGGAGAGACCAGAGAGAGACCAGGGAGAGACCAGAGAGAGACCAGGGAGAGACCAGAGAGAGACCAGAGAGAGACCAGAGAGAGACCAGGGAGAGACCAGAGAGAGACCAGGGAGAGACCAGAGAGAGACCAGGGAGAGACCAGAGAGAGACCAGAGAGAGACCAGGGAGAGACCAGGGAGAGACCAGAGAGAGACCAGAGAGAGACCAGGGAGAGACCAGAGAGAGACCAGGGAGAGACCAGAGAGAGACCAGGGAGAGACCAGAGAGAGACCAGAGAGAGACCAGGGAGAGACCAGGGAGAGACCAGAGAGAGACCAGAGAGAGACCAGGGAGAGACCAGGGAGAGACCAGAGAGAGAGACCAGGGAGAGACCAGGGAGAGACCAGGGAGAGACCAGAGAGAGACCAGGGAGAGACCAGAGAGAGACCAGGGAGAGACCAGAGAGAGACCAGGGAGAGACCAGGGAGAGACCAGGGAGAGACCAGAGAGAGACCAGAGAGAGACCAGAGAGAGACCAGAGAGAGACCAGAGAGAGACCAGGGAGAGACCAGAGAGAGACCAGGGAGAGACCAGGGAGAGACCAGGGAGAGACCAGAGAGAGACCAGGGAGAGACCAGAGAGAGACCAGGGAGAGACCAGGGAGAGACCAGGGAGAGACTTGCAGCATTGATGCACTAAAGACACTATACTTTAACCTTTAACATGTTTACACATTTACTGTCTTTTTGCACAAACTGAGTAATTCTATTTATGCCAAAGGTGACATTTCTTATTATTGTGAGATCAATAAACTTTATCTTATTTCATTCTAAATTCTTTGGGGTTTACTGAGAACCATGACTCTGTGTTAGATTCATATATATACTCTACATGTTTGTGTATGTATTTGAGTATAGGGTGATAGTCGCTCAGTTGGTAGAGCATCTCCTGTCCACAAACTGGCCCGACCTAATCTTCAATAAGATGGAAATGTTACTGTTGTTCACAAATATATATTACTTATGCAACAAAAAGTTAGGAACCCCAGCTTTAAGTTTGGCAGATTAAACAGACACACACCTGTTTTTTAATGAATTTTATTATGATCTTTAATACACCAGTTTCAGATTTGGTTTTCACATTGGTACAACTTGTTCTTATGGATCTCACAATATCTTTGGTGTATTTTATGGATGTTTATAGTTCCGTTCAAAATAGAAACAAAAACACAAATGGATGAGAAACCAATGGCCTTAGAGATAAACCATTAAAACAGAAACAAGAAAACAATACATTTCAAGAGTCTCAAAAAAACACAACCTCCAAATATTTGGTCATTACAAATATTTTCTAAAATGTTACGAGTCATAAACCTAGAGCTGTGGAAAATGTATAGTATCTCTGTCGACAAAAGGTTGGAGACCTCTGCACAACATCACAACATTATTGAATTTGACAAAGAAAGAACTCAGAAAAACATGATCCGTGACTTAAAAACTAAAAATGTAACTGAAAAAGTAAGAACATTTGAATACATTTTGTTAAACAGCAGAAGTATTGTGTAGATAGTAAAAGTAATATCTCACAGCAGGTTAAAATACTCTAACTTGGCCAAACAAGAAGATTTTACAATACTCCCACTGACGTCTGCTGCCGTTGTGTCACTGGGCAAGACACTTCACCCACTGCCCCCACCACCTGCAGGGGGATCAGGGGTGGCAGTTCTGATTGACACCCCCCCAACCCAGAAATGGATGAAGGAGATGAATATGGATGGATAGTCATTAATCCCAGTTTGTTTTGTTCTGGTTTTATTAAGTTCAACTGTCTATGATTTTCTTTTTTACATGATTATAAACATTATCAATAAGAGTGACAAGTACCTTAAATCAAACACCCAACAAGGATTACAAAAAGGTAGTTTCAACAGGTGCCTCAGACCTCCTCTTTTCTCTGTGCTTTATTTTAATTTCTATATTTTTATGATCTTTCCCAAAGTGAAGCAGGTTTTTTATCTGAGTTGTTAGAATTCTACTGAACACTGCTCGTTGTCTTGATTCCAAACGATACATCGATGCTTTGTTTGGCCTTCTCTTTGTCGATTGACTTCCACGTTTTTGGGATATTTGCAGACTTTGCGTTGTGAGCGTTTGCAAACTTATCGTTAAACTTTGTCAACACATACTTCCAGAAGTCTGATGCCTTGAGGCTGACGTCTGGTGCTATTTTCCAGTTGGGATAGATTTCTCTGTATGTTTTGTAAGGGTGCCATTTGTCTTTTGTATCAGCACATTTGAAACTTGTATCACTGTCTACGATTGATGAGCATATATCAGTTACAAGTTTTTGAGATGAATCATCTCTGACATCACCAAAAGCTTGAGGCCGATGCAGTGAGGCCCAGTGCTACGTGTGGCCACCTCCACCTGCGTCACATGGAGCATTACAGAAGGGGCACTGTTCACCACAGCCAATCACTCTGGTGAAGAGTTCATTCTGAGGCTTCACATGAAGGTTTTTAATTTTCTTTTTGATGTTCATGCTTATTTTGTTTGAAAGGGACTGTCCCATCTCATCAACACTTCCAATCAGCCAATGGGAAAACGTTTCTGTGTCCGCATTGTTCAGGACCATGAAAGTATCCAGAGCTTCTTTCGAAATGACTAATCTGTCGTTCAGCTCTTTGCAGATGTCTTTAACAAATAATTTTATGTTTTCACTGGTTCCATCTTTAGCTTTGTTCACTGCTTCAGTTATGCTGCGGACACAAGACTGAATTTGCCTTTTCTCAAACTCTAATATCTCTGATGAATGTGAGTAGATCTTAGTGAGAATCCAATATTTTACATAGTTCTCGTAGTTTGTGGTGTATTCAAGGTACAGCTTAAAGCTGTCCTGTTCCAGCAGGTCCAACAGGAGAGCGTGTTGGAAAACAACACGTGTGCTGAACTCTTCACACGTCAGCATTTTATCAACGATATCAAGACCCAGAGAGCGGTTGACAGAGTCTTTTACCGCAGGTCTCAGGCATCGCTTAGTGAACTCTGCTGCTTTCTTTTGACACTGGTCTCGTTCATGAAACAAGTCTTTGAAATCTGCACAGAACTTGGCTTTGTTTTTATTCAGACAGACGTAAGGATCATTTTCACTGAGAAAATCTCTTTGTAATTTCTCAAACTGTCTGGCAGCATTTGCACAGATGTGTTGTTTCAGAGGAACCTCCATATTAAACTCATCTTTGTGAAGATGGTCATCTATGCAGTGAAGAATCTCATGGATGTTGGTTTCATGGTAGTTGTTTTTTCTCTGAACTTTTTCAGTCACTATCTCTTGACATTCTGAAATTATTTTATTTGCTAATGTATTATCTTTAGTTACAGGATCTTCATAATTAAATAATTTGGAGACCATGTGTAAACCTTGATTCCACATCCAGCCAGTATTTTTAAATGGTTCCAACCCACATTCTTTCAGACTCTTTTTGCTTAATTCTTCATATGTTATGCCTTTGCTTTTTAAGTTCTGTCTGAGGTGATATTCCACGTCTTTGAAAACATCTAGAGGCTTTTGTTTAAATAATTCAAGTTCAGTAAGTGTTTTCGTCCACATTTCTTCAAATTCTCTGTTGAGATCTTCATCCGTCATCTCAGTTTGTCTCTTTTTACAGTCCTCAATCAGTTTATGAACCCTGACTTCAATTTCCTTTGCGTGTTTCTCCTTTACTCTGTCCAACTCTGCCTGCCCTTGTGTCATGTCTGCTGTTGCAGTGAGCTCACTTAATACTTTATCTTGTAATTTATTTCCTAGTCCTTTGATAAAGAGTTCAAACTCCTGCTTATATCCTTCTATAAGCGAAACATGTCCCTCTTGTTTGAAGTACTCTGCCAGGTTATTAAGAAGCTTTGTTTCCCACGTTTCTACTTCTGTGGTTGCTTCAGTTTTCCACTCTGTAAGAAGTTCCTTTATGTCTTTGTAATCCTCAGCAGTGGCAGAAGTTTCAACATTTTTAATTTTTGTTTCAGCATTTGCACTCCATGAGTACATGGCCTTCTTAAACTCCCATTCCCATTTGTTGTACTCTGTGCACAGTCTCGTGTATGCATCAGCCACAAGGCTGTTTCTGAAGCTGAAGATGAAGTTTTCATGCTTCACTGCGTTCCACAGACTTTTGATCCACTCACTAAACCCCAATATATCAGTGACAGATGATCCACATTTTTCCAAATTGTGCAGAACATTTTTCTTGAGTTTTTGGACTGCTTCACTGTATCCTACATTGACTGGGGCCATTGGGGGGATTCCATTCCACAGTCCAGGGATGTACCAGTTTCCAGTGTCGGGGTCATAGTCCATGACATCAGTGAAGCTCTTATTCTCTTCTTTTCTCTCCATCTTAGCTGCAGCTTGAGTCATCTCATTTAACTGCTGCAAGAGCAGTTTTCTGTCTCTGAGGTTCGTGTCATGAGCTGAAACATCTGAAACATTCTGGTGAACAAACTGACATCTGGGTTTTTTACCCACTTCTTTCATTCGGAGGAAAGCGTGCACAACTATCTGCAGGATGTCTTTCATGTCTGTAGAATTCTCCATAGCAATATTGATGATGGTGATGTCACTCAATCCAACCACAAGGGTTGCTAACTCGTTGTCGTGTTCGTGACTATCGTCCAGTTGAGCGAGTTCTGGAGACTTGAGGCCCTCGGTGTCGATGATCACTAAGAAGTCACATTTGAGAGAAGCTTTCATATCTTTACTGACTCTGATGAGTAACATAAAGGCGCCTCTCGTGCATCGGCCACTGCTCACTGCAAACTTCACTCCAAACATGGTGTTGAGGAGAGTGGACTTCCCTGTGCCCTGGACTCCGAGGACTGTGATCACCCGAATCTTGTTGTTAGGAGACACCAGTTCATGGAGCTGGGTCAGAACATCACTCACCCATCTGAGAGGGATGTTGGAGGCATCTCCATCCACCAGCTCCAGAGGAAAACCATCAATCAGAAGCTGTGCACACAGTTTGGGAAGGGGCTGCAGCTGTTGGCGTGAAGGGTCTTCTTCTGGAAGAGACAATGAAGCCTCGTAGAGTTGACCCATTTCCCTGAAGAAGTGTTCCGTTCCCAGTGAACTGTTGGAGAGTTGTGTGTCTATTGTTTTAATCTCTTCTTTGTTTCCTGAATCATTGCATTTTCTTTTATATTGCTCCCTGAGGTCTGACAACTTTTCATGAGAAAGGTTTTCAAGGTTTATCCGAAGCCATTTCAAAAAGAAGGACCTTTCGATCGCAGGGCTTGATATCGCGCTGATGAAACAGGCCATCGCTTCTGTTTTGTCACGAGAATTCTGTTCTTTTCTAATCTTTTGTTTTTGTGTTTGGAGGGAACTTTTGTAATGTTCAATGCTTTCAGTTCCTACTTTCCTGAGTCTACACTCTTCTTTTTCAATAGAAGTCAGGTCCCTCCAGAATCTTCCCTGCAGGGGCAGCTCCTTTTCTTTGAATTCAAGTATGTCTGCAATTTCAGAAGTTAAACAATCTGCATTTGTTTTGGCCCTATCACATTCAGGTTGGTTTTCATCAATATGTATTCCCAAATTAAATGCAATGTCAACCATTTTCACAATAGGTGTTTTAGTTGATGTCTTCCTAACAACATCAGTGACAGATTTTCGTAATTCCTTGACAAAGTCTGCATCATTTTTAGTTTTTTTCTTCAAAAGGATTCTATTCTTACCCAGACTAGAAGATAATGTTTTTAGATTTTCTTTGTTAAACTGTTTGTTTTTCTTGTCAACCACTAAGTAGATCTTTTCTTTGTCTGTTTGGTTGGCTTTTTTCAGCAGGTCATGATCAAGATAAATATTGTCAGAAAAAATAAAAACAGCGGAAGATGTATGACAAAGAAAAGCATACTGTGTTTCAAAGTTAGTAATATCCCCACGGAGGTTAACGACTGCCACTGGTTCATCAAAGATGTCAATGTTTTTATTCCCACAGGGAAGGTACCAAGTAAGTTCTGTGAGTCCATTAGAGATTATTCTCGGGTTGTCACCACACTGCATGTTGCGGTGCACAAAGGTGTCGTGGTATTGCTGGGAGTTGCTCAGGAGCTTGTTTAGAATCTCAGACTTGGACAAAGAGCATTCACCAAGTCTCACGAACGAGATCATTGGGATTTCAGAGTTTACGACACGTTCTTCTTTGAAGCCCTTGGATTCAGAGAGAGATTTAGGTCTGTACTTTTTGACAATGTCTCTCAAAGCCCACAGCATCAGTGTGCACTGGTTTGTGTCACAGTTTGGAAGCAGCAGAGGAACAGCAAACTGACACATGGACATTTTGAGTGACAGTTCCTGCTGCACAAAGCTATCAGAGCACAGAAACAGAGCTGTTATTATGTCAAGAGGGTTAAGTTTATCTGATTCTGCACTAACAAGAAGATCATCATGGGTGGACTCTGTGCTTGAGTCGTCACTGTCTGAGTCGCTCACTGAGTCATGGTCAACGTTTCTCGCTGTTACATTTTCCATCATAAGTCTTTTCACAAAATACCAGACTGCATCCGTCTTAGACCTGACAGGTTCGTCTGTTGTAGCCTTGACATCGATCTGGAGAATTTCTGTCAACAATAACTTGTCTTTGTAGTGACGGTTCAGCTTCAATTCTTGCAGAAATCTCTCCAGTTTGGAACCTGAGGAAACACAACCATTGTTACGTCATACTAGTGCTGTACTGCCTGTTAAGTGTGGCGGGTTTTGATAATTGATCAAATGCCAAAAAATAAACGGCCGACGGCAATGGGTTTACATCACTTTGAAGAACAAGGAACACTGCCGACTGAAGATCGGCAGTGTTCTGAAGACTTTATTCGTCCCACTGTGGGGAAATTTCAGTGTTGCATCACAAATTGCAGAACAGTAGAAATGAAGAGCACACGTTACCTGAACAATAGCTGGACTAATTATAATAAAACTCTATCATCAAAGAACAAGTATAAAATCTCTATCTTTAACATTATAAAGAAGCACAAAAGTTTTCTATTTGGCAAAATAAGAGGCAAGTATAAAGTACTGTGTATTCTAGTGCAAGCAATGTGTTGTTATATATTAGCAGCAGTATGTTAGCATCTGTACATAGCTGCAGGGTCAGCACTAGATCATATACGGAATCGGGACGGATGCGGAAGTAAATATGACAAAATACCTATTCATGCCTAAACTTAACCAGCCATTCCCATAAAATAACCCCAACCCAGCCTTAACCCTAACCTTAACCATCTTACTCAGACCACCTTAACCCTAACCTTAACCATCTTACTCAGACCACCTTAACCCTAACCTTAACTATCTTACTCAGACCACCTCAACCCTAACCTTAACCATCTTACTCAGACCCACCTTAACCCTAACCTTAACCATCTTACTCAGACCACCTTAACCCTAACCTTAACCATCTTACTCAGACCACCTTAATCCTAACCTTAACCATCTTACTCAGACCACCTTAACCCTAACCTTAACCATCTTACTCAGACCACCTTAACCCTAACCTTAACCATCTTACTCAGACCACCTTAACCCTAACCTTAACCATCTTACTCAGACCACCTTAACCCTAACCTTAACCATCTTACTCAGACCACCTTAACCCTAACCTTAACCATCTCACTCAGACCACCTTAACCCTAACCTTAACCATCTTACTCAGATCACCTTAACCCTAACCTTAACCATCTCACTCAGACCACCTTAACCCTAACCTTAACCATCTTACTCAGACCCACCTTAACCCTAACCTTAACCATCTCACTCAGACCACCTTAACCCTAACCTTAACCATCTCACTCAGACCACCTTAACCCTAACCTTAACCATCTCACTCAGACCACCTTAACCCTAACCTTAACCATCTCACTCAGACCACCTTAACCCTAACCTTAACCAACCCTAAAACTTAACCAGTCACCATTTAAGGACGTTTTAGTCTAAAACTAATTTGAAAGTAGGATTGTTACTTCCGGTTTTGTCCCAATTCCGTTTATGATCTAGTGCCGACCATAGCAGCAGTATGTTTACACCTTAACATGTTAGCAGCAGTATGTTTACATCTGTACATGTTAGCAGCAGTATGTTTACATCTGTACATGTTAGCAGCAGTATGTTTACATCTGTACATGTTCGCAGCAGTATGTTTACACCTGAACATGTTAGCAGCAGTATGTTTACATCTGTACATGTTAGCAGCAGTATGTTTACATCTGTACATGTTAGCAGCAGTATGTTTACATCTGTACATGTTAGCAGCAGTATGTTTACATCTGTACATGTTAGTAGCAGTATGTTTACACCTGTACATGTTAGTAGCAGTATGTTTACATCTGTACATGTTAGTAGCAGTATGTTTACATCTGTACATGTTAGTAGCAGTATGTTTACATCTGTACATGTTAGTAGCAGTATGTTTACATCTGTACATGTTAGCAGCAGTATGTTTACACCTGTACATGTTAGTAGCAGTATGTTTACATCTGTACATGTTAGTAGCAGTATGTTTACATCTGTACATGTTAGCAGCAGTATGTTTACATCTGTACATGTTAGCAGCAGTATGTTTACACCTGTACATGTTAGTAGCAGTATGTTTACATCTGTACATGTTAGTAGCAGTATGTTTACATCTGTACATGTTAGCAGCAGTATGTTAGCATCTGTACATAATAGCAGCAGTATGTTAGCATCTGTACATAGCAGTATGTTTACATCTGTACATGTTAACAGCAGTATGTTTACACCTGTACATGTTAACAGCAGTATGTTTACACCTGTACATGTTAACAGCAGTATGTTTACACCTGTACATGTTAACAGCAGTATGTTTACACCTGTACATGTTAACAGCAGTATGTTTACACCTGTACATGTTAACAGCAGTATGTTTACATCTGTACATGTTAACAGCAGTATGTTTACATCTGTACATGTTAACAGCAGTATGTTTACACCTGAACATTGTTACGGGCTAGGCCCTATTGGGGGTCCTGGGACTGGCCCATTACTACGTCCTACCAGTTGGCGCTGCAGCAGTGGGCGTGTTCGCACCCACAATCAGCGCACGCACATATAGTCTGGAGGAAAGGTGCAGGCGCTCTCTGCGCGCTCCTGAGGGCCACTCCACACCTGCTCTGGTGCCGGTTTCATCTCCTCCCTGGCTCTCCCTCAACATGCACTATTGACTACACATACGGCGCCCTCACTGAATCGTGGCTCCATTGTGCAATTCCTGATTCTGCTATTGTACTTGCATGCCGCAACTTACATCAGGCAGATAGAACTGCAGATGGCTCCGGCAAAACCAGGGGGGGTGGGCTGTGCATTTATATAAACAAAGCTTGGTGCACAGACTCTGTAACCGTCAAGAGTCAGTGCACACCCGATCTGGAATATCTCATAGTTAAATGCCGACCTTTCTATTTGCCACGGGAGTTCACCGCTACTTTTGTAATTGCTGCTTTTATCCCCCTGGATGCTAACGCAAAGTTTGCTATGAAAGAACTATATGCTGCTATCAGTAAACAACAAGCTTTCATTGTTGCTAGTGACTTCAACCATTCTAACTTAAAAACTGTGCTCCCAAAATTATAGGTCTAACCTGGGGAGGGGCATCAACAATACTAAGCACTGGAACAGTGCAAAAGTTGAGGAGCACCTTACCAACTATGACCCATGGATCTATTATATTAACTGGATAGGGTATTACTAGCTTGTAGCTGAATAACTCATGTGCTCAGGGGATTCTCGCGGTACTGCAGACTGAACCAGACTGAACCAGACTAAATTCACGTGGGCTACCCAGAAATTTTCCCCATAGAACTCAATGCATATTAAAACAGCTCAACCTCAGCTGACAGAGAACCTGACAGAGAATTAATAGTTACCTAATGTAACTTAGGTTCTACGAATAGGTGCGTAGTCCCTTAGGACTTCGCTAGTGGGATATCACGTGACCCCCAGGTCACACGCCAGAGAGATCAAAATAATTTGCTCCAATCACCAGCCACCCTCCTCTATAAATGCCCCTGCACAAGGCCGCACCCCCTCTTGAACTCTGCCAAGCCGGGCTGGCATGATGGGCTCGTAGCTAAGGGACTACGCACCTATTCGTAGAACTTAAGTTACATTAGGTAACTATTAATTCTACGTCATGGTGCTACGTCCCTTAGGACTTCGCTAGTGGGACACAACGCGGAGGCCGTAGGAACATGTACTCCCAGCAGGCCAGCGAAGGGTGATTGGAGCTCCGCCCGAGCAAGACCCTCACAAAGTGAGGAGACTCAAGGCAGAAGAAACAATGCGTGTTACAGGGCCACTCCTACCAAGGATACCCCCACGTAACACAGATGTAGGTCATCCGTAGTCACAGGACGCCTCTCCCAAGGGCTCCTGACGTGGACTACCTGACCGACCAAACACACATATATGTACCGCACCTGTAGGATGCCTCTCCCAAGAGCTCCTGAACCAGGGCGGAAAGTAAACCGAAGGCCCCCTCAGAAGAGGGACCTAACGGTCTAACTCAGTCCGCTGCACTCAGCACGGAATGGGCCACCGACCGGTCCGACACATCCAAAGATAAAACCGGACGAAAGAGGAGGACGACGCCCAAGAAGCCGCACGGCAGTCGTCCTCGACCGACACCCCCCTGAGAAGGGCCGCAGAGGCCGCCATCCCACGCGTGGAATGCGACCTGAAGCCCACCGGGAGGGCCAGACCCTGCGTCTGATACGCCCGCCGCACAACCGTGGCGACCCAGTGCGCCAGCCGCTGAGCCGACAGCGGGGCGCCCCTGTTCTTGGGGCCCAGACACACAAACAGCTGACCACCCAACCTGAATGACGACGTCATGGCCAGGTAATGCCTCAGCATTCTGACAGGACACAGAAGGTGCCGCCACTCCTCCTCGGGGGAGGCATGCGGTGGCGGATAGAAAGCCCTAATCCTGATGACTCTCGACCTAAAGGCCGACGTGATGACCTTGGGGAGAAAGCCGGATTGGGCCACCATACCACCATGCCGTCGCCCTCTCCAAAAGACAGGCAAGACGCATGGACAGAGAGCGCACACAAGTCGCCCGCCCTCTTAGCAGACGCCAACGCCAACGCCAACAAGAGGGCCGTCTTAAAGCGTCACACTCGGGACTCGCCTCCGCCGCCGGTTCAAAAGGCGGACCCGACAGCCCCCTAAGGACCACCCTGAGGTCCCAAACCGGGGGCGTTCTCTGGAGCGGGGGCCTCCTCCTGCGTGCCCCCCGCAGAAAACGTTTAACCAACGGATGAGAGCGGGCTGTGAACCCCCCCGAATCCGTCGTGACCCGAAGTAATGGCTGCCGCGAACACCGCCAAGGTGGCGACAGCCCTCCCCTTGTCAAAGAGCTCCTGTGGGAATCCCAGGACCCCCTCCAGCGGATAACGCCTGGGATCCCAGGAACGAAAGCCGCACCAGTCGCTGAAGAGCCTCCACCTCGTGGCGTAGGCCCTCAATGTGGACGGCGCCCTCGCCCCCTGAGTGGTCTCCACCACCGCAGGGGGAAGACCCAGGCCTACGAGGTTCCGCCTCTCAGCCTCCAAACCCAAAGCCTGCGGCCGATTATCGGGCGTGAAACAGGGCTCCTCCCCCCCCGGACTAGAGCCCCCGG